AATTACTATAATTTGCTGATGATATTAAGGTCTTGGGTGTTAAATCATTTTGTGATTGGGCGAATGAATAGGCTATGTGTTTTAATTATAATAAATAGCAAGATAATGCACGTGGATTATCATAATTTGAATTATAAGTATAATTTGTATGGGAATAACTTTAACAGTGTCATGAAGGAAAGTGATCTTGATGTTGGTGGTTGATCAATCTCTTAATCCATCCAAGTAATGTGCTGTTGCTAGTAGTAGGGCAAATAGGATTTTAGGTTGTATCTACAGAAATACCAGATAAAAGTCTAAAGATGTTATAATTTCATTGTATAAGTCACTGGTTAGGCCACATTTGAAGTGTTGTGTTCAGTCTTTGGCTTCTTACTTTAGGAAAGACATTGAACTGATGGAAAGGATACAGAGGAGGGCTACTAGAACGATGTTTGGGATGGAGGGGTTGTCATATGAGGAGAGGTTAAGATCTCTGAAGCTGTTTTCTCTTGAAAACAAGAAGAGTTAGAAAGGTTCTGATTGAGGTGCTTAAGAGTGTTAAGGGAATTGAGAGTGTTGATGCATCATCTTTTTTCATATTTAATAGTAGGACTAGAGGACACAAATATAAATTTTCACAAGGTAGGAGTAATCTTCAGCTAAGAACAATTTTTTTTTATAACAGGGTGGTTGGCCTTTGGAACGGGGTTGTCTTCATATGTTGTGGAGACAGTAAATTTAAGTGAGTATAAGTGAAAGCTTGATAACTCTATGAATGATAAGAGCTGGCTTTGAGTTTTTATTTTTTATTTAATAGTTGTAATTTAGTTTAGACTTTAGAGGATGGGACAGCCTAGATGGACCAATAGATCCGTAGACTTTGTGTTATGTTAATTCCAAGGCTTAACATGGTCTTAATGCTGTAACATGTATAATAGTCAAGATATAACTTAAAATTCTAAATAATAAAAACAAATCAATTTTGTACTTTAATAAAAAGGAACAACGTCTTCATTCTTAATGCATATTTAAAATAAATCTGCTTTCGATTGTTTTATAACCATATACAGTCTTATTTTGTACTTTAATACAGTTTATTGTATTGTAGATTATTTTTATTCACTTGTGCTGATTGTATGATTCATAAAGATCATGTTAAAATCATACTTATTTGAAGAAACAATTGTGGTACTGTATGCTAGTTTGAAACTTGAAGACTTGATCATTAAGAAACTTCTATAACTGTGTTTGTTGACTAAGAATAAAAAAACACTGACATAAAAACCCTTGTTTTCTCACCTCCCCTGCCATATTTGCGAAGATAGAAATAATATTTGTGCAAAAACTTTTCTATAAATAGTTTAAGTGACGCATAAAGTATGATTAAAGTTTTGAGAACAATTATGTATTCTACTGAAGAGTGCCTATTCTCATGATAAGGATGTTATATGTTTTTTATTTCCCATTTTTCGCTTAACCCAACAAAAATGAAACTGAAAATTGGTACCGTAATCATTTGTTTTTGTGTAACTAAAGTAAAAAGTTATTCTTCAGTAATAGTTAAAAAAATGTACAAAACCTTATATGTTCGTTCCATCCTGCTTTTGCTCGCTGTAAGTTGTCAGGACAACAAGAAACAGAAAACGTGCAATGTAAACAATCATAGACGCAGTTTAAAAACTTCGTGAAAGATATCTTGGAAGAAATAATTATTTTATCGGCAACTATGGTTCTAATTAACCTGTATCTTTTAGCTTCTTTCCCAGTACATTATCCAAATACTAAAACTAAACGCGTAGGTCGGTGTCCTCATTTGACCTTGTATTATTTGGGTAGCTCTACCTTCATTTTCACGTCAGATACAGCCCTGGTTTGAGATTTAAAAACACAGCCGTTCATATTCAACTGGCATCAGCTATCCCGTTATCCTTTGCGAGTCACGTCAGCCATTTTCATTAAGGTTTGGGCGAGAACTGTTTTAGTATTAGTATAAGATTTAGCAATATTAACAATAATAAAATATAATTTTTGTTTTACTTTATGTAGTGCGTGTTTTTGTTATCAGGCATGTAGAAGAAAGGTATTGCTGCAGAAGAATGGCTGCATTTTCAAGTGGCCTACACGACAGGTAAAAACATTATCAAAATAAACATTGAATTTGAATCAATGAATAATATTAACATTAACTTAATTAATATAGTTTTTTTGTTAAGTTTTGTTAGTTTGGTAATGCACTTGATGACGGTGTCAATTTTTTTAACGATAAAACTGTGTTTAGTGGTAGAAGTAATTTTAGGCGTAAGGTAAGTTGGCCCTAAACTAAAGCTTTGAATTTGTGTTTTAAGTTTAACAACACAATGACATTACGTTGCACAGATATTTGAGATAACAATTTAGTAGTTAAGTTTTAACCTTAATAGAAACAGTATCGCTGTCAGTGTGGCAATAATATTAATATTTAATTCATTATTACGTAAATTAATTCGGTAACTGTTAGTTAACTATCCATTAACAATTTTTTTAATGTTCAGTTAGCGCTTGATTAGTTGATATTGCTTTTTAACTACTACTACTAGTACTGCCAGTTAGTTAAGCCTTGAAGTTTTGCATTTTAACTTGAAAGTGCAGTGTCAAATATATATATATTGTAATAATTGATAGTGTATTTTATAAAACGGTGGGAATTGGAATGAAAAAAAAGAATAATGTCAATATTAATATAAGTTTTATTTATAATAATTACATGAATAACTTTTGCATAGTTGGTGAGTGCCACTTCAGTGATGTGCTAGTAATACTAGTATTACTACTAATATCAGGCTTGGCTCATTCAATAAAGTTGTATCCAAAAGAAAACAAATCAGTATAAAAGTTATCTTTCACTTGTGTATTCATATCCAGCATTAATTACTAGACTAGTAATTTGTACACACTATATCTAAGTAAACTATTTTGCATTTCTAAAAAATTATCTTGGCCGAGAATAAACCTATGTCAAGGTTTTCAGAATTTGAAATATCCCCCCCCCTCTCCCATATATTTAATTACTTTTAATACATTATCAATTTTCAAATGTATACCAATTTTTGGGCCCCCTGTATATATATGTTGCTACACACATGCATACGCATCCATTTGTACAATGTTAATCCAAATTTTATAGAACTTTGATAGTTTATCTAAGATGTAATAACTATAAGTTACAGTTATGCAAAAATAGATGAAATGAAAATAAACCTTTTCCTATAATTAAAGTTTCTTAAACTACTTGCACTTTCTTGTGGTTAGGTGTTGTTTATTTAATACCTTAGTTGTTTAAGATAAAATGGATATAGATATACACCAATTATGCATTGTATACACAAAAACATTAATTATTTTTAAGTAGTAATAAACAGTTCTTTCAGATTGTTGACATTTCTTACAGACATCTGCCTCTTTTTCTTTTTTTTCCTGGCTTCAGTGAGTAATAGTTTTGGTAAAAGGTTTTATAACAACCTGTTATAAAAAGAAAATTGCAGAAGTTTAAGAATATGAACCAATTTATCAAACCTTCCCTTAAATTTATTGCATCCACCACATCTGAATGAACCCATTCTAAAGGTCAACCACTCTGTTTGAAATATAAAACTCTCTTAACTGAAGATGACTCCTCCCAATATTTATATTTGTGTTCCCTAGTTCTACCATTTTTAGCATTAGATATGAAAAATATGAAGCATCATCATTATCAATTCCTTTAACTATTTTCTAACTCTTCTTTTTTCAAGAGAAAACAATTTCAGAGATCTTACCCTGTTCTCTTATGAAAATATCTCCATTCAAGGTACCATCCTAGTAGCCTACTTTGAACCCTTTCCAACAATTCAGTATCTTTCTTAAGGTAAGTAGCTATAGACTGAACACAGTCCTCCGAATGCGGCCTAACCAGTGGCCTATGCAATGTGAAATTACAACCTTTTTAGACTTGTATTAAATATTTTCGTAATTACAACCTAAAATCCTATTTGGCCAAACACAAGCAAAGGCACACTGAGATTGATCAACTAAAACACCAAAATCCTTTTCTTCTATAACTGATGAAATTATTCCTATCAAAATTATACTCGTGCTTTAAATTATAACCCAGATGCATTACTTTACATTTATTATAATAAAAAGACGTCCTCTATTTATTCACCCAACCCACAAAATAACCTGAATCCTTTTGTAAAGCAGCAGCATCCTCATCACAGCCAGCACCACTGAAAACTTTGATATCATGAGTAAATTTAGACAATTTTTTGACTATTCCTTCATCTATATAACTGATATAAATCAGATGCTTTTTGAAATTCTAAACATACCAGATCTACACCTTTAACCTCCTATGCATAAGTGATAACCTCTTCAAAGAATATCAAAAGATTAGTAAGGCAAGGTATTCCACTAGTTAAGCTATATTGACTATTCAAAAAAAATTTTAAACTTTGTTAAATGAATTTGCATAGTATCTTCTATCAGACATTCCAAAAACTTTTCTCATGACTGATAAGACTAACAGGACTGTAATTACCTGGATAATTTTTATCACCTACCTTGAGGAGGAACATGAGCCAACTTCCAATCTTCTTAAACCTACCCACTGCTCAAGAACTCAAGCACGTGGCTCACATATCTCGACCTTAACCTACATCAAAACCCTTGGGGAAATATTATGTGGTCCAGGAGCTTTATAATTTCTTGAATTTCCCAGTTGTTTTGTAACAACCTTGTAGCAAGCAATGTGCACCCTATGCTATTCATTCCCCCCCCCCAATAAAATAAGGAAAAAAGTGTTAATAGGTACAGTATACTAATCAACCTAAGAGTTGAACAATAAACAAGAGGGGAGGGAAGGTTAGTGCATCATTACATAATATCATGTAACTCTCGTAATTATTAATGTTGATGAATCAGGTGGGGTAGTTATGTGTAAAATCAGCAGCATGCATCACTATAATTACATCTTAAGAGAACGCTTGCAGATCTTAATATATCTTAATCTTACCTAATGTGTATGATTATGGCATAAGTAGTTCTAATAAAAGTTATTTTGTACTTGTAATTGTTTTTATGGGAAAATTACATAGTAAAAAGCATTGTCATTTATCATTTAAGTAGAAAATAAAGCAAAAGTTTGAATACCTATTATACTATTAGTAAATAGTGAATATAATCTCCTACATATTTTTACTAAACCATCAGATATTATGAACCCTGAGCTAAACTAAATTCCCTTGATCACTATGTAATGTGAGCTGCTTATTTTCTAAGTATGGCAAGGAAGCATGGTGGTATTATTAAGTCAACCAGGTTTTTTTCTTTCCTTATTAACATTCTGTCCTGTTCAAGTTTTAATAGTTTAAGTGCTTGTAGGTTAAGACATGTATACTAATTTTGCTAAACACCTTTGTCTAGGTTATTGTACAATTATAAGAATATAGTTAAGCTATAATATAGAGGTTGTATTTTAGTGAAAACTGCATTACCTATCATGATTAGACTATGTTTATCTTTATATCAGACTTTCAAAAATTTAAGGTTTTTATATTATTAAGAACTAGGTGGAACTTGTTCAAATGATCAGAATTGAACATGCCTTGTAGCTCAGGTCCTGATAACTTTCAGGGTTTTCATATATTTTGCCAGCACTTTTCCTATATTCATTTTTTATGTCACTGTTCTTTGAGCCACAGATTTTTAACCAAGTTTTATATGTTGACAAATTCTAATTCTTTCTCAACAGTTTTTAACTTAAAGAATATTTGGAATTGATATTTTGTCATTTTGTAACATTTATTTAGTGTAATACGCACACAAAACAAACTTCTTTTTTTTTTTGACATTTCATCTCTGCACATGTGGGAAGTCCTTCCTGTAAACAAAACACTGGTTGATTATTATTTTCTTTTTAAAGGATTTTTCTGCTCTTCCCAAAGAATAACTAAATTTTGGTAAGAAACTGTCACCACTTGAGATTATATTATCCAGTTCTTGATTTTGAAGCATTTGTCTTCTTTTTTTATGCTTAAATTTCACACATAACTTGGTTGCTATCATTTTACGATATCACATCAAGTGATTTGGTCACATACTAATGAAACACATGTTTGGAAACAGCTATAAAAGAAGTTTCAATATAATTTGAAGGCAATAATTAGACATTTCACATCATAGTAGAACACATAAAGTGGCTTGAGTAATGGTTTATAGTTTCGTGTAGAAATTCTACTCGGAGCTTTTGTAACATTCACCAAAAGCATTTAGTGGTAACTTTGAAGACTTATGAACAAATCACAGAGCTGGTAGTTTTTTTATATAGTTTTTGAGTAGTTCTTTTTGAATGAAAGCATTTGCATGTTCAGTAGTGTCTACGAAAGCTATAGAACTTTTTCTTTGAGAATTAAAGATATTTTTTGGTATTATTGTGTTTCTAATATTGTTTATCAATTTATTTGATTTATGTGTGATAGTGGAGGAATACTGCATATCTTAAAAATGATGATCTTGTGGTCATTTTCATATTAGTGATTTGCAGGGAAGGAAATATTCAGATTATGTTTTAAAAAAAAGTAAAAAACATCTGTGTCAAAAGTTTTTGCCAAATGTTGACCAACAATGGAAATATTAACTTGGTATGACATTATTCATGGAACATCAGCATGTGTCAAGGATTGAGGCTAATGTTTTAAGTCTTTCTTTCCTCTCTTCCCCCCCACCAAAAAAAAACATTCAAAGATAGCAACAACAACAAAAAATGGTGAAACAAACCAGAGTAAACCACAAAATTTTTGTGGTATTTTTTTGGCTATACAACTTTGTTTATAATCATGTAATAAAATTTATGCTATATATCCATGTGATTTATTAAATAACTTCTGATTTTTCCTATTGGGTGAATGAAAGCTGTTGAAAACATAACATACATTTTGTGTGTAATTTATGCAAAATATTGTGTTAAATCAGAAAGGTCAGGATTAGGTGTTCATTGATTTTTAACTGTCAGGATGGGAGTTATCTGATTAGGGACTTGGAGCATGAGTCCCAATAGCTCAGTTGCTAGAGCATTGACCTCAGAAAATGGTGTGAGATGAGGGTCCTGCTCAGATTACATAGATTTTAAACATCCTGATTTGTTATTACTATCTGTGGCAATAGGTGTTTTAAAGATAAAAGCACATTTGCTGCTGAAGCAAGTTGGTCATGAACCTTGTTTGGAGTGCACTTGGACATCTCAAAAATAAGTTTTCATAAATAAATGCATAATTTGATGATAAGTTCTTGAGTCTTTCACAGTTTGAGAAATTTGATGCAATAATCTATAGTAAAAACCTGAAAGGAAAGGTATATATATCACATTCAAAACCTGAACACACTTAAAACTAGGTTGATAATGCAATTTTTGGAAAATTTTAGTCTGTTTCTTTAAAAAATGATAAATACTATGTATTTTGTTTTCATCAAAGAAAACCCTCCATATTTTATTAAATTTAATGTGAGACTATTCATGAAATTTCTTTCTTTGGAGAGTTAGAAAAAATAACATTTAACAAATGAACATCGAAAATGTCTTTGTTTAACTTTGTTTAAGCACATCAAATTATAAGAAACAAAATTTAAATAAAAAACGTTTCAGTGTTGGTTAGCTGTTTTTATTAATATTATTGTTATTAAGGGAATAGACTCACATAGTATTTGAAAGTAAAGTTTATTTAGGCAGTTTGAGGAAATATAATAAATTATATTTAATGTTTTACAATTTTTAAGTTACTCATTTATCTGTTCATAAAGTTGAGTTTTTTTAAAGTAATACCTTATGTAAATAACATAAATATGAAAGAATGAAAAAATTAAATTGGAGAAGAAACCTACTGTTGCACTGATAAATGCGCTGTAGTCAGCTCTTAGAAAGAAAAAAAAAGCTAGGCAACTACTGTAGATCAGTTGAAACTTAGACCAAGAAGGTTAAGTGCAAAAGACAAGTCTTAAAAATAAATGTAAATTAAGTCAATAAAATAAACATGGAAAATATCTGCATTAACAATATATAGTAAGTGATGGCAGTGAAAAAGTTAGCATGCAATTTTATATAAATTTTAGCATTTCAAAGTTGACTTATTGATACATATTTATTAAATTATTATACAGTTTTGTAAAGATTGTTTTGTTAAGGTAGAAATACTTGTTTTTAATACCTTCCCAAGTGGTTAATGGTTTGGCAGTTTGTAATATTGACCTGCATGCAATGAGAAAGATAATCAGTTTTGTTTAAAAACCCGAAAATTACAGCTGTATATTACTTTTTAAACATGAGACGGTCTAATTTAATGTTTAAATAGTGAATTGATAGTATATGTTTTATACTGTTATAGTAAGACATTTTTTAATGTTTTAAATATATTTTAATATTGTGTACTTCTAACTGAGCAATGACTTTTTGTTTTCAGACTTGGAATTGCACGGAATGATATATTACATCCAATGGAAAATTATGATAACTCAGGTAAGGGTAGCATGAAAATGGTAGCATGATCAGAATGAAATTTAGTTTTTTTTGAAAACTATTTGAACTACCAAAGTTATAAGTTGACCTGTAAAAGAATAATGGAGTTGTAGAACACTGGTTACAAGTACTATCCATTGGTTGCAAAATTAAAACTGAGTGATTAGTGGAATTTCATAATTGATGAATCACTGTGTTTATTAATCAATTACATTCAAATAATCAATGCTACATGGATAGTTACAACAAACAAAAACAGTAATAATCTCAAAGACTAATTTTGAATAGTTTATTTTGAGTTATGGCACTAATTGATTAAGCTGAACAGCTTTAAGTGAATGGAAAATAATAATGAGAAATCATAATGGCAATATTTTGATTACTTGAATAGTTGGATTGGTAGGAAATCTTTTTTTCAGTTAGTTGATTATTTTTAGAACATTAATTTGATTTCATTGTAATTTCCAGTTTTTGATTATTTCACATGACACTAATCAGTGTAACTGATGATCGTAGGTGGTTGATTATCTTGATCAATTGATTTAATTGTCCAGGTGTACAACATATAGCTTGTGATATGCTTTTTTTTCCAGTAAATACCTAAGTTTTGTACGTTAATTTGGAACATTAGAATTAAAAAGACAAAAATGTTTTCATTACAGTAGTTGGTGTATTTAGTGGTTTGAAGATGTGTATGAAGCTCAATAGAATGGTTCAGATGCTTTGTAAAATAGTCCTGGAATGTTTGCCATAGCAATTGTGGCACCTGCTATTGAATTTATGCAAATTGTCATGCTTTTCATGGTGTACAGTGTGTTTGTGTGTAAGATTGTACATTTTGTAAACACAAACATTAGTTTTGTACAAAATAATGTTATGAAAGCAGTAATTTTTTTCTATGTAATAATTAATTTTTGTTTTGTTAGGAGAACACTTGGTTCAGAGGACTGTTATTGTACAGAAGGATGAAAAGGGCTATGGTTTGACAGTATCAGGTCATAATCCTGTATTTGTTCAGTCGCTGAAAGAAGGTGAGAGGAATATGTTGCTGCAATTATGTAAATTTTCCTAGTAACCTGAAGTCATAAAGTAAGTTACTGGACAATGTGTAATTTACAGTTAAGAGGGCACAGTATATTTATTAAAGCCGTTGAACTGCCAAACATACTGTTAAAGAAAAACTAATTTACTCAACAATGACTTCTATTTGTCTGTTGATATCTTATGCAAATCCAGGTATATTTGAAATTGTTTTGCCAGTTTTTAAACCTTTTTAAAGCCTAGTATCAAGTACCACTTCTGGCCTTGTATTAATAAAGCCTAATTACTCTTAAAAGGCACCATATCTGAAATGCAGACACTTTAAAAACATGGCTAGATAACTATGGGCCCTTTAAAAATATAATTATAGTTTTTTATCAGTTTATTATTTAAGCAGTGAAAACCACTACATAACATAATTATTTATCACACTGTTACAAGTGATCTCTGTAACCTTTGACCAGAAAGACAGTTTTCTGACGTATACTATAGTAGGCCTAATGATGTTATGCGCCAGGCCAATTTGTTACAAGAAATGGTTCAATAACATATTGTTTAAAACATTAAAACTAATATAATATTTATCTTACTCTATTTTATACTTAAAACTTGCCTATTTCCTCCTTTTACTAATTTATGTATTTCTGCTCATGAAGATGGCGTTGTCATGATCTTTAACTTTACCCAAAGGATTGTTCAAAGTAACAAAGCTGTTGTCTCAAATTACAAAAACTGGAGTTATTATATACAGTACTTTAACTGTCAGCACCATTACTTTAATAAAATAAATTAATACATAGGGAAGTTACTATGTTAATTTATTGCCTTTCTGTGGCATACAAGTAATTGAAAACCATTAGTAATGTAGAAGACAGAAGTACTGCATAGCCTGGAGGTACCTTGTATATAGTAAGAAATTGTACAACTTTGCAATCTAGTATGTTGTCTACACAAGGAATGAAGGGAGTGCATAGCAGGTAGGTTGTGAGAAACAAAATGATCCCAGGTTTCCAACAACGCATTTATGATTTTAGTAGCTAAAGAAGCTTAAAAATTGCAAAAAAAAAAGTTAAAGTTGGATTTTACAGTTCTTGACTTCACCAGCTCTACAAGTTCACTGGTTTAAAACTGTTTGAGCTACAAATTAGCAAAAAACTTCTCCAAAGTTTACAGATTTGTATCTATGCAGGAGGAAATTTAACAGTTTCCACTATCTCAATAATAATTAAAATTGGGTAAAAATTGAAGATAACAGTTTTAAATTTTTAAAAAATGACTGTATTCAACATAAATTTTAAATCTTATGTTAAAAGAAAATTTGAAATTTTAACATTTCAGCTATAATTTCTTCTTTTTCTTTTTTAGAGGTAATATGATGAAAGAGATCACGTAGAATTTTTCAAATCTCGATGTTGCTGTTTTGACCCTTCAAAAACTGCACTCAAACGGGTTAAGTGTTTGATTTTGAAGGTTAAAGTAATGGATAGTTGAATGATACATCTTAAACCTTTTAGCATTCCTTTATTTTCCTTTGAGATTGTATTGTTTAGATTTATGAATAGGAAGCATTTCTTTTAATGTTTTATTAAATTAATATGATTTATTCTTTCGAAAAATACTTCCTTAGGTACACAAATTATTTTAAAGATGATATCTAAAGATTTTCAAAACATGGACCAGAACAAGTCATTGTAGTTGTGACATGCAATAGATATTAGCAGTCTTATTTCAGTTAAAACATAGTTGGTACAGGTTTTGTATTTTGTGGAAAACTTTGAAACAGTTTTTTCTTAAGATTTATTTAAAATGTCAATGCAGAATTTGGTGTAAATATTTGAGGAGACAACAGAGGAGCTTACTCAAATATAGATCTATATCGTGTGTATCCAAAGGCTTTATATAAAGCTTTTGTATGTACAGAATTATTAGAGTTAATGATGTAATAATTTATACACTATTATTATTATTATTATTAATAATGATGATAATAAACATTTCTTACTGGGTGTAGAGTAAATGTGGTATTTACATTCTATGAATGCAGAAATTGATGGATTTAAATTAGTTTTAAAAAGGAATTAGATTGAGCCTTCACACTTTTATATATCTCTTTATTTTTGAGTTTGATATAATTTTGAACATAAAACAGTCCTACATGGTTGGTTGTGAGGTTAGTTGTCTAAAGGTGAGTTGGTGTTTTTATTAAATCAGAAATTTCATATTGTTTCCTAATGAAAACCCTGGAAAACATGCTGGTTTTCTTTATGCTTATTTCTTCATTGATAAGATATTAAAAACTGATGAAATACTGTAAAATCCACTTAACTTTTATATTCAAAATGTTTGATTGGTGGCTAGTTAGTAACAGAGTGGTGAAAAAGTGAGATCAATTGTAACATAGATATTTTAAGGGGAAAAAACTTGTACCACAAAAAAATGGTAAGTGGTAAGTAAATAGGTGTTTCAATGTTCACAATATTTCAGGCCAAGACGTGCTTATTCTTCGAAGCTAAAAGTTCTGCTTCAAACATTGACAATGCTAGAGCCATCATGAGACACCCTAGTAAGACTAGTTGTAGCCATGGGTACCATGATGAGACTGTCTTTTGTCAACCTATTTGATGGAATTATGCTTTTTTTTATATCAATGGTATGATTGGAATTTGATGACATAATTGGAATTTCAGCTTCAATTTGATCAGTTTTGTGAACTATCATCCACCCCTTAAGTGCACAAGCAATGTTTTTTAAACCATTCAATAAATTTCCTTGACATTACTCTAACCTTAACTACAGAGAATACTATTTCAACTCCATCTGTCATGAGCCTACCAACTCCCATTCTTTCCTGGATTACAACTTCAGCTATCTCATATCCAGTAAAAATGCCATTTCTAAATTGATTTTCACCAATTTTATCGATTATGCAATTCCAAATCCATTTTTGCTCAGAATAGTGATAAACTGTTATTATTATTATTTTTTGTCAAAATTAAGGGTTATTCTTTATATATAATCATTGCAGTTCACGGAGATACTGCAAAGATTGATCACAATACTGTGCTACAACCGAAGACAAAAAAATAAGAATAATTACAAAAATTAAGTACCTTTGATTTTGACATCTCATTTGTAAAATATTCAGGTTTCTAGCATAATTAAAAACAATTTTGGGATACTTCGAAATGGCAAAACTTTGGGAGCTAGATTTAAGAATAAACCAATGACTGTCTATCCACACAGAAAATAAAACGTAATATGTATTGGTTTGTGCATGAACACTAGAAGAGAGTACTTATCTTTAGTGTGATATGCATTGCTGTGCATGTTCACAATGCAACACGTGACATTACAGCAACACCAATACTTCAGTACCTGGATCCAACTTCTCTTACACAGTCAGACAGTTGTTCATGTGTACATGCAAATTCTTAGTTTATTGCACTACTTCTTTATATTGTGTTCTACTAAGGAAAAACAGGCTGAATGAGCACATCCATAACTGTGTTCCAGACGAACGTGAACTTGGACTAAACATGAGTACAACATCAGCCACTTCTCTCACTTAATGATATTGAAAAGAAAGAGGCAACAAGACTAAAATGAACTGAAGGGAATAATTGAAAGATTTTCTATAAACTTGTGTGCATGCACACAAACATGCACAGGTTTACCATTAATACATGTATTTTATCTTCAGTACTGTCTTTCCACCTACAGAAACATAATTTTTGCCTTGCAGCAATATATAGTACTCTACTAACCTTAAACTTGGATATATTTAAAACCTCAACTTGTAATTATGTAAAATCCGAATTTAAAAATTGTATTGATTTCCTACTGATTCCATGTGCTTTGTTGATTTGTTATGTGATGCTTATTTCAAATTTTCCATATTTGATAACTCTTTGTGGTGTCATAATCTTTTGTTCCATCAAAGTTTAAAATTGCCTTAAGCATGGCATCCTGTCCCATCCCAAAATGTTGTGAACATTAACCCTTTCAAGACGGGTCATGGGTGAAAGGCCATGTTATCTCGTTTGTATACTCGCATTCAAAGTTTTATTGAACTACTATTTCATGAATTTATGTCAATAAGTTTGGTATCAAACTGTAGATTATAATTCAAATTTTAGTACTATATATTACTCAATTTCTTAATTTAAAAGCAAATATTAAAAAAACACGGATCAACATCGATATTTGTGTGTCACGTGGTATGTTGAATGCAGCACTGGTTCAAATTAGATGTTTGTGAAGTCTGTAGTTTGAACGAATTAGAAACTCAAATTACCGATATTGACAAGCTAGAATATAAAATAAGAGCTTCTACTCTTTTCAATTTGCTAAGATATTGCTCATGTAATAAATCTAACACAGTGGCACCCCTCCCACCTTTTTTCCATTTTTGGAAATGCTTCCTTGTATACACTTTTTTTCTATATATGACATGAATAACCAATCGTAAGCTCAGAATGTCCCCTTAGTGGCTTTCTTAGCCATTTTAATGGACTTGGTGACATTTCTTTCTTTTGAACCAATATTTTAAATAGATAGGGAGGGTTTTTAGTTTGCTCGAAATTTCATATTTTTTTAGACTAAAATACATCTTGGTTACTAAGCTATATAAATTATAATAGAATTCTGTGGTAATCATTTAGTAATTTATGATTTTTTTTAGTTATTCAAATATACATATAAAACCTAAAAAATATTTTTTCATATCCTCCACATGCAATTTTTTTAAAGGCTTAGCAACCTATGTCAAGCAGCAACTGAGTACAAAGGCCATAACTAGAAGAGATAATTGTTTGCTTTACTTCTTTAGCTACTGTTCTATGTTTTAAGAAAAATAAGTTT